TTTTGGTTATTAATTGAAAGTGTGATTGAGTTTTGTTAGATTGTTCTCTTGATATGATATTTTAATTGTATGGTTGCTCTCTTGATCCTTAAAGCTCTTGTTAATTTAGAATAGAAGATGATAAGCCTTACATATTCAATTTTTATTGAAGAAATCTAATAGTTGTTTAATTTGATCGCTTGTCTTACAAATATTGCATGTTTATTGTATTATTATTTTTGCATCTAAATCAACATGGCATGTTAGGCGTGTATTAAAATTTTTCAACTCTAGATGTCCCACGGGAACTATATATGCTGAAAAGAGTTTGAAGTGTTCTTGGTGCTACATTATTTTGTCTTTATTGGGTTATTTTTTTCTGAGCTAACCCCACGTACTGGGATAAAGGTTTATTATTGTTGTTGTTGGGGTTATTGTTCAGTGTCAAATCATATAGTTATAACTGGGTGTTTGAAATGATCTTCAAATGTTGGTAGGTTTGGGTTAGTGGATTATTGATGCAAGACTAAAATGTCTAAGCAATGTTAGGAAAGAATCTTGCACAATTTCATTTAGGGAGCTTTATCAACTAAAATACTTGTAGTGATTAAACGAGGAAATAAAACAAGATAGAGGTGATATTAGCTTATGCCCAGTCGCACGACTAGAGATTAGGATCGCAAAATAATCAATGGTTCAAAACATAACGCACATGAAATATTTCCAACAAAAAATCCCTACACTAACAATGAGATTAATCACTATGAAAAGATCCATCTCTTAACAAGCGAAGAAACATTAACACTATCCTTATGAATCAAATAAGGCCACAATTGAAAGCAGCTAAGAGGATATAAGAGTTGGAGGAAGAGTTTACCCAAATGAAAGAAGATACAAAGCTCCAGTGTGGTCGTTTGGATGTTTGAGAAAGAGTGGACAGCAACACGAACTTCCTAGCTGCCTTTGGACAACACTGACAATTTTTAGATGGTGGACTGCAAGCTAACTGGCTCTGGATTCTTTGGACAGCAAACTGAAACCTCCGGACAGCAAGTGTAGCTTCCTTGGATGGCGGGACAGCAGAAGGGTTTGCTGAAATTCTCAAACAGCAACAGAGAAATCTAGGAGAGGAGTGGGAGAGGAGTTTCAGCCAATCGGAAGGTTTGGGATGAGCTTTTGAAAAGATAAGAGGAGAGAGAGAGGGGCCGGCCATATGGGGAGATAAGTTAAGGATTCTATTTCCAGGAGATGGTGTTAATTGATGGAAGAAAATATCCCAAATATGGAATTTGATTTCAGATTTAACGGGGAATTAATTGGGACTAATAATGATGTAGGATTTAGAGAGGAGAGGGGTAGGCCGGCGGCATGCTTGGAGGGAGAGGAGTTTAGGAAGGGGATTTAATGATTGCCTAACAAGAATATCCGATTGGGAAAAATTGTTTAACTCACATCCCATTTGAAATTTGATTTGACTTGATTTAAATAACTTACCTAAAATAGATTGTCTGTTTTAGGAAGGATTTCAAAATTCAAAATTGATTGAATATTTGAAATCAAGGCTTTCCAAAGGAGTTCATATAGAGAAAGGAAAGTAATGATGGAAGATTTGAATTTGGAGGCAAGGGAAGGGCAGGGGGGGCGGCCGCTAGGGTTAGGATTAGGTTTGGGTTGGTGGCGTGGAGGTGGGAGGGGATGGCCAGTTGGATTGTGGTGGTGGTGGGGTTTGACCGAGAGAAGGGGGTGGGGTTATGGTTGACCGGCGGCTAGAAGGGGTGGGTGCGGGTTTAGCCAGGAGAGGGAGGAGGGGCTTTGGTCGACGGTGGAAGGGGAAGGGAGGGAGGATGGAGAACGACGTCGGTGACCACAAACTCGGACTCTTCCTGCAGTTGGTGGGTATTGCGATGCCCTCACTTAAGGACTTCAATCTCTCCAAAGCTCTCTCTCACAACACATAAGAGACAATAAACAAAAGGCTGAAATTTTTCATAATATCATTCATTACCCTCAAGTAAGGAGGGAAAGGCTTTAAATAGCCCAAAACAATAAAGAAAATACAAAAGTCTCAATTGCCCTTAGGGCATACATAGGTCTAGGCCCTTAAACGAGGGCATAAATGAAAAAAATACAATATACTCATGAAACATAATACAATAATAAAACTAATACAATAATAATCAAAAGTAAATCGGTGCAATCGTGGCCGTCGATCGTCGGTCCCACCTCTGGTAGGGAAAATTATTAGGTACGGATACCGGACGTCGTCCAAAGACCAATAAAAATGTGCTACGTCACCTCAAAAGTGTACCGCACTTGGTACCGAGCACGATACCGAGCATCGATACTGCTCGGTATCACGCTCGGTACCAAGTGGTACCGGACGGTTCTCCCGTCCGGTGTCCGCTCAAAATAATCTCTCATATGATAGACTCTCCGAGGCCTGATGTCCTCATTAATTATCTTGAGCTCAATGTTATGCCTGCACACAAATAATAAAATAAGAGCTCAACAAGCCAATTTCTGTATTTTATCACTAGTAAAACCCTCCTAATTTTTGGGGTATGTTAATCACATTGACACTTGCTTCCTGCTCATACAACCAAAAACGATAAGTCTATCCTGAGAAATGTTTCTCAGGGAAAACCCTTCAAATCTGTTGTTAGTGTGATTCTAAAGCTTAGAAAAGAAAAAGAAAAGCATTCATGATTTATTTCAAAGGGATTTCATAAAGCTTGATATTATTTTAATGGACGTTTCCTTTAATTGGATATTGTTATTTATAGAAAAGTGAGGGTGAAGGTTAATTTAAAGTTTTTCTTGCGATTGATGTTGGATGGTGGGTGAAGGGTGTAGTGCTGTAACTAACGTATTAAGTATTCCGCATGGGGAGTATTTTTACAAGAATGAAACTCACAAGAATGGACGAGGCCTGCACAAGCAGTGGAGTATGTTGTTTAATTCGATGCAAAGTGAATAATCTTACCAGTGCTTGACATGCCATGAATCATCTTGAAAATGGGGTGCCTTCGAAAATGTGGATGTAGGTGGTGCATGGTTGTCATCAGCTTGTGCCTTAAGATGTTGGATTAAATCATGCAACAAGCCTTGTTGGAGAAGTAAAAACACACTGCGAACACAAACAAGAAAGAGGAAATGTAGCGGAAAAGAAAGAACACTAGGATTCTACATAGAAAAATTCGAAATCGGGAAACAAAACCATGAGGCCATAGTACATCAAGAAATTCACTATGAAAATTTGGAGAAAAATTGTACATATCTCTTTCTCTCTCATCATCTCCTTGTTTCTCTTCTCTCTTTTTTCTTTCTTACACTAGAACATACAAAGAGATACTCATTAAAACATCCAAAAGGATGCAATCCTTAAAGAAAAAATGAGAAAAAAAAATGCCCAGCTCGTCTCGTAACGTCACGCTCCAACAGTGGTGCTTACTCTCCCTATTAAATCTGTCAACGTGCATCGAGGTCTGGAGTGCCGCAACGCATTGCTCTCTATCTCTTGCTTGACTCGTAGCACCATGATGCTGAGGTTTAGAGTGCCACTGTGCTCCATTCTCCATCTACCTCCAACCACTCAATACAACGTCACAACACTCAGGTACACAATATCGTAGCACTGTACGGTTGTACGGAAAAAATCTTGTACCTTGCACCCGAACCCCAAGCAAGGGGAGGAATACTTGCAACCCCCCGACTAGCTCGGCTGATGGAATTGAGGTCCAAGGCAATAATACAATCCGATTGATCTACACAATCATATTTTGCACAAAACTATGAGCGAAACTCGTATGTTTAGTTGCCACCATTGAGTTTAGAATCTTGAACAGACTGCCGGTCAAGTCATCATTATCCTACTGCCCCGGATTACTTATATAAAAGTGAAGGTGAAGGATAATTTAACATTTTTCTTGAGATTAACGTTGGATGAATTGGGTACCTCATTTTAGAGATCTATGCCAGATGAAATTCCCCTGCTGAAAAATATTTTGGTTCTATCCCTTTTTAGGGGCTTAAGAAGCGAAGCACTTGACTTGCTTATCTTGCCCTTTAGGGGGAGAGATGGATACGTCGACACAGAACACTTAGGCTTTAAGATTTGTGCCCTTGGAGATGAAATCATGTGATAGGATTGGTATGTGATTTGTGTTTGGTGTGATCTGTTTCATGTTTCAAGATTAGTGCTTGACTTTTTATTGATTTAATGGAAAGGTTTTTACACCTTGAGGCAATCTTATGGTTGAGATCTGCAATGACGGTTGCTTCATCCTACGTTTGTTTGCTTAAAGATAGTAGAAATACGAATTTTCTTGCCATTATTTGGACTCACGAGATTAATCGGCACTTAATACTTTATAGGGAAGTATCCATTCTAATTTAAATCTGTAGTTTTTTTTTTTTTTTTTTCTAAATTTGCTTAATATGAGATTAAGCCATTTGCAGCGCCTTCCATCCTTAAAATACTGTTTTAACTTCATCATCCAATTTCTGGAAGGAAATTTGCGGGATGATGAGTAATTGACACCCGAATTAATATATTGAATTTGAAGCTATCTATGCCGTCATGAATTGTTGTTGATCCACTGTCAGCAGTGCATTGATTACAATATGGCCTCTCTCAAGAATGGCTGGCTATCTTTCTATCCAAAGGGCCAAACAAGCCCCGTCGTTATAAGAGATTATTCTGTGCGGACGCCGGACACAGCTTTACATCCAGAGACGAACCAGGTGCAGCCATGTCAGCGGTACCGAGCCGCGGTACCGAGCTGGGGTTTGTGGCGTATTCTGATTGGTCTTCGGACGTCCGCACAGAATAATTTTTTCGTTATTATGACCATCGGGCTATCCCATGCTGTAAACTCTCTGAAGATTCCTTGTATGAATTGTTTTTCAATATTTTATGGCTAATATACGATATATTTTACTCGTTCTACAATCATGGCATAAATTTGTTGCAGACTTGAAAGATGCCTTACCTTATCACTTTATTAAATTCTCATATGCAGATATAATTTTGCATTGAATCGTTGGCTTAAAGAGTCAAGCTTAAGGCGAAAACTGCCATCAGAAGATTCTTGCGGCTTCGTTGCCATGAATGGAGAGCTGTGTGTGCTAACCAAAGCAATACCATTAATTGACCCTTCAGAGCCCGGTAAAGTTTTCAGGAAGAGGATAACCCTAGAGATCCAAGCTTATGATCCACAGAGAAAGAAGTGGAGGTTCTTCACAACAAATCCTCCTTTTCATCACCCAATAGACTTCAAAACGGCTGTTTCCTGCTCCATTCAATTGTGAATTCATTCCCAGTTTCTTATTCCTAGGCTTCGTTTGGGACGGCTTTCTTACTATTTCTTAAAACAAATTTTTAGTAAAAAATTAATTTTTTAAACTAGAAAGCTGCTTTAAGAAGCAGTAAGAAGGCCGTCCCAAACGAAGCCTTAGTTACATATCCTGGTATTGCGTAGATTTATGTAAAGCCTTCTATTGTTGATATAAACATTGATTAGTGTATATCCTTTTATGCTGAAGAATTTTTTACATAGAATTCTGTATAGATGAAATCTTTGGATAATATATGGGCATTAGATGTGTGCCAAAATATATGATTTACTATGTACATATCAGAGCTTGATCAATAAATTGAAATTATAGTATAAAAAAAAATATTTTTTTTCAAGTATTTTCTGATTCAATTAGAATCTGATGCAGTTGGGAACCTGAGGATAGGCTGTGAAGGTTCAGAGCAAATCAGTATTTGTTATTCTGTGTTGGAGTTTGTGTGAGGAAGTTGATTTACTGTGGCTTTGAAGGCCTAAGCATAAATGGTTTCATTGAACTTGTTGTGAGGCGCCAAAAAATTTGTAAAGTTTAATATATGATAGAAAGGGTTATGTATCCATTAAAAATGTTGATAAGGCGGTAATTTAAGTAGAGAAGAAGCAATGCTTTTGTATATGATATATAAAAAAGAACAAATCAAGAGGAGTTTGGTTTTGTTTCGATCGTTTTTTTATTGTTTTTTGAAGCAGTTTTTTATTATAAAAATTAAAATTTTTGTGCTAGAAAATCGCTTCAAGAAGCAGTAAAAAAGTAGTGTCAAATGAAGCCTTCATGAGCCCTATCAAACTTGATATGGTAAGCATACCTAGGCTATTATTGAAACATGTGTTAGCATGCCCAATGGATGGTAGATAAGAGACTTCAAAGTCAAGAATGATGTTTTTAAAGCCATAAAGCTTGCTGAGAGGAATGAGTAGCATTTAGACTTTATCATTCAATAATTTGTCAAAATTGGAATCTAAGCACCACAGAGTAAAAACAATACTATGAAAAATTATTTAGCTTTTTATAAGGACAATGATCAATTACAAAGAAGGCTTATTGAAATAGATTGTCGAGTAAGTTAGTGAAGTGAGCACCAATTTACATCTCTCCAAGGGGATAGAGCTACACCATAATGTATATATTCTATGTTACTTTGGTATGCAAACTTAAAGTCATGAATGGTGCACCATTGTAAAGAATAAATAGGGAAGTATTTGGTTAAAGTTGATTGATATGAGGGTTTAAGAAAATAAAGCACCATATTAATTACTATATGATTAATAATCCTATAACATATAGAAATTGAGCTAGATCATAAAAGTGAAATTTTGGCATGACTTGAAGTTGCCACACATGATTGCTTTGTAGATAGGGGAGCATTGAACATGATTGAAAGTGCTAAAAAGTAGGGAGAAAAGTTTGAAATACGTCGTGTTCTGCATTCTAATGACCTTGTTGCATGACACAATTAGTGATCTTTTTGCATGACAAGAATCACGCCATGACTTCCTTCCTAAATGTGATTAGTGTTGTGCCCAAGGGTAACATTGGTATCTACCTACCCTCCATCCAACAAGAAGTGCAACAAGATTGTGACCACATGTCAAGAAACGTCTTGCAACCCTCAATGACACGGGAGCTCACTGCAATCCTATAAACCTTGCAACTTAGCGAACCCCACAACCTGAAAATCCAACAAACACTACAACTCACTCCACATGACCCTTGCTCCCCGCAACCGGACAATGCCTTAGATTTCCTTATAGATAGTAACCAAACAAAAAAAAATTCATAATTTTATTTTACAATTAATCAAATAATCTTAAATAATTAAAATAAAATATATCTAATTTAAACTACATTAAAAATAAACTAGCATTCTAAATAATTTCAAACAACCAACCTCAAACATAAGACTTTTATAAGATGAAGCAATGAGTAGAATAATTCATAAAATGTTTTATTTTTAATCCCCCAAATTTAAAAATAAATTAATATTTAATATTTAATTAAATTACACTTCACTTATTTTTTTTTATATATTCAAAAAAATTAAGTTAAATTCACATACATATCATATAAATAAAATTTTAATTAATTAATAATCAAAACTCTCAATTAAAAGAACAATATGGATTTCATCACTTCGTATGTTCGTTTCTTATAATAAAAACAAGTGGTATTCTTGCGCAAAAAGTATACTATTGTCTCTTAACGGCCACCAACTTGTCGTGTAACGATCAGCGAAGTACTGGCCAAATCTCACGGTTATGCTGGCATCCTCCAGCATAATGAACGGTCGATCTTCCAGTCTCATAAAATTTTCTATGCATACGGTCGCAAAATGAGTTCCCATATCCCTCCTCGTTTTTTGTTTTTAATAATTTGCTTTCCTCATTTGTTTCATTTCTCAATTTTTTGTGTTGCCACCTTTTCTTCCGCTCCTTCCTCCGATGTTTCAGCACAAACAGCACCAAAACCCTACGAATTCTCTGATCTTTCCCCCCCTTTTTCCACATTCTTTGCCGTTTGATTTCCTAAAAAGCTGTATTTTATACCTTTGGTCGTTTCCATTTGAAGTTCTGGGGGCGGAGTTGCGCGGTCGCCGGCCGTTTGAGGCAATCGCAAGGAAGAAGCGAGATCCAAACTCGAATCTTATATCTTAATTCTAGGGTAAAGTTTTCATCCCTGTTCTTCTCACTCCCCGATCTTACTTCCTTCTGATTATCTATTATTATAGTAATGCATTTTACTAGATTGGTTCGTTTTCAAACTTCCCTTCTCGATTCAAGATAGGCAGGGTTCCCTGCACAAGTCTTCGAAGATCGGGGTTATGGTTTTGAATTTCGGTTTTTTTCATGCCTGAAACTATCGGTAATTTTCTGGTACTATTGAAATGCTTGAAAGTACTGGTAGTACTATTTCACCGGCAATTTGGTTGAGATGAGATTTTTAAATTATCTTTCCTCTTTTGTCTCTTTCTGTTTCAAACTTTTGATGGATTCTTGACTTGTTCTATGGATGCTGACTATAGAAGGCTTTAATTTTTCCCTTGTAGAATTAAATTGATTCATATTGCACTTTAATGTCTACAATAGTTCTTCTTTTCTTGTTTTTACGATCAGATAGGGGGAGCTTGGAGTCATTCTTTTTTCCTAGAGGTTGATCTGGCCTTCTTGTGTCATGGCTGCAAGAAGTTCCACCAGAGAGAGAAGTGAACTTCACCGGTTTTCAACAGCTCTTTCTTCTGCTTTCACAGAATGGCTGCTAATTCTTTTGTTGCTCGTTGATGCATTTTGTTTATACTTGCTGATAAAGATATTTCGCTACTCTAAGTTGCAGACTCCATGTTTAGTTTGCTCAAGGTTTACCTATCTTTTAGGAAATGAAAAGCTGGGATTTTATAATGACTTCCTTTGTGATGTGCATAAGTTGGAGATATCCACCTTTGCATTTTGTCATGTACACAAAAAACTTGCTGATGCTAGGGAAATGTGTGAAACCTGCCTCCCTTCATTTGCCGAAAATAAATCGAGTATGGAGATATGTAAATTTTTGTGGAGTAAGCAATGTGTAAACCCAGATGATGAGATGGTGAAAGTTCCTCTGCTAGAAAATGATCAAGAAGGTAGTTCTCTGCACAAAAAGCCTTGCTCATGCTGTTCGAAACTGTGCAATATAAAACGATCTGCATACAGGCCATTTGAAGACAAGCCAATTTTCAAAGAGCTTGCTCACCCTGCTATCCAGTTATCCAGTGCAAGGCTACATTCTAGAGCACATTTTCCTGATAGATTGAGCAAGGACAGAAAAATTTTCTCCATGCAGTTAGCTTATCAGCCTGGAGAAGATTATGGCTTTGATCCTCATTTCTCGTACAGAGAGCTGAAGTTTTCTTCTGACTCGGAGTTAGAAGTTGCATACTCGGGTGATGATGCTGATGGCAGCAATAAGGTCCCCCGAACTGAAGAAGTCAAGGAAGAATCTGTTGCGCAAAATCTGAAGTCATCTACTTGTCTCACTGATGCCCTAAAAGATTTATCTGTGATTTCAGACAATATGGTCCTAGAGAAGCTAATTCATCTTGATCCTATTATATCTGATGTTTCTTCAATTTCTAATAATGAAATTAATGAAGGTGGTTCTTGCTTAAATTCATTTCCGGAATCCATTAATGGCCTTCGTCATGGCTTGGAGGAAATCAACTGGATTAATGTTGAAGTGAAACCAACTCTTCCACTATCATCTCAAATCACATCTGAATTAGTTCCTACTGAAATCTCGATTGTTGAAGGTGAGACAACATTATTTCTACCATCTTCTTTGTCAAATCCAAATGATTTAATAGTGAAACATCTCATTTTTTTTCCTTTTTTTGTTTTGCATCTTTTCATTATCAAACCGAGGTTGCAGAAGTTGATGTTTCAAGAACATCTTCTACTCCAAAGATTGAAGCCATCAGTATTTTGAATTTAACTGATACAAGTTCCAAACCTGACAAACATTTGAGCAAGCTTGATGGAAATCTTCCTTTTGGCGATAAAGTAGCCCAGCGAATACCTACATCTACTGAGATTACCCTGTCAATGTCAAGGGAATCTGGTAGGATCCATGAAGATCTGAAGCAACGTCTGTTCCAACTCCCAACTTCTTGTAGCCTTGAATCCTCGTGGACTGATTTCAATTTCAGTGTTGGCAAGGATGATGAAAACAAATTATCTGATACTTCTTGTTGTAATAGGTTACATAGTGTTACTAAGAGACTGGATTCTGATTTATCATTTGTGGAATCTACTGATGGAAGCCTTGTCTCTGAAGTTGAAGGAGAGGGTTCAGTTGGTAGTTTGAAAAGGCAGATTGAAATTGACCACAAGTTCGTGAGTAATCTATACAAAGAACTGGAGGAAGAAAGAAATGCTTCAGCTATTTCTGCAAATCAAGCTATGGCCATGATCAATAAGTTGCAAGAGGAAAAGGCTGCTATGCAGTTGGAGGCTATGCAGTACCTGAGGGTGATGGAAGAACAAGCTGAGTATGAGCAGCGGAAACTAAATGATCAGCTCAAAGAAAGGGAGAAAGAAATAAAAGATCTTGAAGCAGAACTTGAAAGCTGTAGGAAGCGGTGCTGGGATGAATCATTTGCAGGGAAGAATTTACAGCCATCATATGATTCTGATGAAAGTGAATACAGTACTACTAGTACTCCTCATGTCCTAAAACCCAGGGGAAGGGACAAGCATCACTTGACAGGTATAACATTCCAGGATTTTGCTTGGCCTCCTGCTTCAGGTTCAATTAAAGAAACTGTGTTGGATTTTGAAGATGAGAGGGAGTATATCTTAGGATGCCTGAGAAGGTTGGAGAAAAATCTTCGTCTGTTCTCCAGTGCGGATGCATCTAGACGTAATGAAGAGGATGATGAGTTCAATGATGAAGTTTATGCAGGTGATACTGAAAGTGAAAACCACCAAAATCAATGCTTAAATGAAGATAAAAGATCTAGAAACTGTTTGTGTTCTCTGAACAAAATTGATGAGGATTGTCCGACTCGACAATTTAATCGATTAGAAGAAAAAATTTCATATGTAAAAAATCTACCAGTATCTGTTGAAAGCCTTTCTCTTGAGGAACGGGATTCTGAGATCAATTCAAATGAAGAAGAGAATATGCTAAGTTCTTCCTTCAAGAAAAAGAAGCACCCAAAGACAAGTACAAGACATAATTTAGTAGCTCTTGGTGATGAAGTTGAACACTTGCATGCAAGGTTGGAGGCACTTGTAGCTGATCGAGATTTCCTTGAGCGTACTATTAACTCTCTTAAAAATGGGAAAGATGGGCTACAGTTTGTTCAGGAAATAGCTACCCACTTGCGAGAAATTAGAAAAATTGCTTCCACGCAAAGAGAGCAAGTAAAAGCTTGAACTTCTTACATTCTTTTTAAAGGTAATCAATTAGATGGTCTCAAGCAGTGCTTCTACTTAGTCATTATTAATGTCCTAATTTCTTACATTAATGCATGCATGTTTTGTCATAGAAGCATTTATTTCTCCATTTTGTTAATATTAGAATAACAATAACATATGCATTATAACTTTAGCTAATGCTGACCTATAATATATCTACACGTGTAATGCACCCTTAGGTGGTCTATATATAATCGCATGTATATCTTGTTCTGAGAATGAAATCAATCTTTCTGTCTTGCTATCACAATCATTTCTGATCTGTTCTTGTATCTGGTTCTGTTCTTGAGTTTCTACATGGTATCAGTAGTGGGCTCATTCTGAGGACCATCCATGGCATCTTCATCTTCGGCGTCGGCATCATCGCGCACAATAGCGGTGCACGGCGACTCATCCGACAAGCCTCTCCTCTATCCCTCTCTCAAATTCATCGTCTCCAATCTCAAAATGCTCGTTCCTCATCATCTCTCCACGGACAACTATCCGATACTATTCAAGGCGAATGGCTTCGCCCAGTTTCTTGAATCATCATCCGAGTCCGTTTCTTCTCAGGTTACTTCCGACCAAGAACACATCGATCTTGATCCTGCAACCAATAAATGGCTCATCACTGACCAGAATCTCGCCGCAGCAATCTGCTCCACTATTTCCGCTCCGGTGCTACCCTATGTTATGCATCTTGAGTCCACCCATGAAATCTGGACTGCCCTTCAAACTCGCTTTCAGTCCTCCAACCGATCCAAGGCAATTCAGCTAAAAAATGAGCTCCACAATATATCAATGCGCAACATGTCAATGCAAGTATACTTGATGGAAATCAAGAAACTCGTCGATCATATTGTCTCCGCCGGATCTACCTTAGATACCGAAGACATCATCCTATACATCCTAAACGGTCTTCCCCCTCCATACCAATCATTCAAAACTGTAATCCGGACACTGCAAACTCCGATCTCCCTTGACAATCTCTACGCTATGCTAATTAGCGAAGAGATTCATCTCTGAGCTGACACAACGTTTTTCTACCACACCTGACGTCCATACAGCTCTCCATTCAACGCGTGGGCGTGGACGCTGCGGGCGAGGCCAACAACAGCAAACCTCCAACTCCACATCCAAACCTGGATCAAAATCGTCTCTAATTTGCCAAATATGCACAAAACGTGGTCACACGACGGACATCTGCTGGCATCGGCTTAATGTAAACTACACCCCGCCATCATCCCACCTCAATAACAACGGCCACGCTCTTCTTTCCACAACCGATACGTCATGAACGGACTGGTATCTTGACTCTGGTGCGTCATCGCACATGACAAATGGCTCAGACAACCTTATTCAGGTTTCGTCATACAATGACTCAGATCAAGTCACGATGTGGGATGGAAGGTCTATTCCGATTGCTCACTCAGGCACGGGAATCCTTCCTACCCCGGATCGTAAGTTGTTTCTATCTCACTTACTTCATAAACCTTCTATTTCACATAATCTAATTTCTATCTCAAACCTTGTCACTGACAATCAAATCTCTATCACTTTTGATCCTAAAGGCTTTATTTTTAAGGATTTGCAGACTCACAAAATTCTACTCTAAGGTCCATGTAAAGAAGGCCTATATCCGATCTCGATCAAGAAACCCGAAGCACTCAAGCACGCCCTCTCCACCATCCATGTGATGAAGCCGAATTGGCACGAAAGACTCGGACATCCTCACCAAAGAATACTCAATACCATCTCCCACAACTATCTATTACTGCGTATACAGCATAAACTCAATAACTGTGTTTCTTGTAAGACTTGCAAAAGTCACAAATTAGTGTTTTGCAAATTCTATAAACAAAAAAAGAACTTTTGCTCTTCTCCATTCTGATGTATGGGGACCCTTTCCGGTCCCCTCGCACCAAGGATTCCGATACTATCTTCTTGTCGTAGATGATTTCATTTTGTTTGGATATTTCTAATTGCTTTTAAGTCTGCTGTTACGCAAATCTTTATTAATTTTATTACTTTCATTGAGAAATAGACGAACAGTCTGATTCAAGCTGTGCGTACCGACGGAGGAAGCGAATATGTTAACCACAACTTCCAAACCTTTCTTCAATCCAAGGGTATCCAACATCAGTTATCCTGCCCCTACACCCCGGAGCAAAATGGTATCGCCGAACGCAAACACCGTCACTTAGTGGACACCGCCAGAACTCTGCTTCACACGGCCTCCATGCCACCATCTTACTGGCCGGATGTTGTCTCCACTACTGCTTATCTCATCAACCGGATGCCCACACCAACCACCAACAACATACCCCCTATTCAACTTATGTTTCACATTACCCCTAAATACTCGCATCTTCGAACGTTCGGATGTGAATGCTTTCGGCTTCTACCAAGTCATTCTCGCAACAAACTATCCTGCACATTCTTGGGATATGCAAATAGCCAAAAAGGCTACAAGTGTCTGAATCGTCAAACTAACAAGATTATAGTCTCAAGACATGCACAGTTTCTTGAAACATCGTTTCCCTTTAAACAAACTGAACAAATAAACAAGCCCTCTCACTTTGACTTGCCCACATCTCTTCTCTTACCCGTCTCTATGCTTCAAAATCAACTCCCATCTGCTCAGCCTCAACCAAATAATTATATTATTAAACCTCCACCTCATGCTCACACTACAGCATCTCCTCAGCCTACCACCTTCCCTTACTTCGTGCCACAGATAACAACTACAACGTCCTCTCCTACCATTTTTGTAGCTCGACACCCTATGACAACCAGAGCTCAAACAGGATCGCTAAAACCCATCCGTCGTCTCAATCTGCTTCACCATGAGTCACTCTCTACGGATCCAACGAGCTACACAGAGGCAAACAAATCATTTAAATGGAGACAAGCCATGGCTGCCGAATTCTTTGCTCTCCAAAAACACGAAACATGGAAACTCGCTCCTCCTCCTCAAGATGCATCTATCCTAGGGTGTAAATGGACCTTCCGCAATAAACTACACTCAGACGGCTCGATAGCTCGATTCAAAGCTCGTATAGTGGCCCAAGGTAATCAGCAAGAATATGAGTTCGATTATGGTGAGACATTTAGTCCGGTAGCGAAGCTACCAACTATTCGAGTTTTATTTACAGTAGCACTCCATCACGGCTGGAGAATTCAACAACTCGATGTGGCCAACGCTTTTTTACACGGCAATCTCAATGAAACTATTTATACGCGACAACCAAAATGCTTCGAGGAGTCCATTCATCCAAACCATGTCTGCCTACTTCGCAAGGCCATCTAATCATCTATGGACTTAAACAGGCTCCTCGACAATGGTATACAACCTTCTCCAATCATTTGGTCAGTCTCGGGTTTCAACACAGCAAGGTCGACCCCTCTCTACTCACGTTTCGCCAAGGACACATTCAAATATTCCTACTAATACGTAGATGATATACTAGTCACCGGCAACAATGAGTTTGCAATTTCTACCTTTTTCAAACAACTCCACGTTACATATGCGGTCAAACATCTCGGTACTGCTAATCACTTCCTAGGCATCAAGATTCAAACAACACCAGATATGCACTTCCTATCTCAAACTTCATATGCTCTTTCTATAATTCAACAATCTACTCTCACCAACTGTAACTCTGTAGCCAACCCATCTTGTACCAAGCTGCCGTCCGAGCTTCAACTAGACTCCACTCTTGCGGATCCAACAATGTACCGAAGGATCACCAGTGCCCTTCAATATCTCACCATCACCCGTCCGGACATAGCCTATGCCGTCAACGCTCTATCCTAGCATATGCATGATCAACAGCCGAATCACATATATCTACTTAAACGACTTATCCGCTACATCAAAGGGACGCTCAACTTCAGACTACCAATCACAAATTTAGATCTTACTCTTCACACTTTCTCGAACGTCGACTGGGCCAGTGATCCCATCACCCGCAAATCAACATCTGGCTACTGTACCTTTCTGGGCAGCACGCTTGTTTCATGGACCGTCAAAAAGCAAACTACGGTCTCTCGTTCGTCTACAGAGTCTGAGTACCATGCTCTTGCCGCCGCAACAGCGGATACTATCTGGCTCAAATGTTTGCTTGTTGACTTTCACACTGCTCATGATCGACCCATCGATCTATACTGTGACAACACATCCGCAATTGCTTTGGCGAACAACCCGATGTTCCACGCCAGAACCAAGCATATAGAGATCGATCATAGGTTTCTTCGAGAACACATCAACACCAATCACATTCATCTTCTACCAATCAAAACAATTGATCAAATAGCTGACATTTTGACAAAACTTCTGTCCACGCCAAGATTCAAGCAACTATGGGACAAACTAACAATCATCCAAGATCCATTAGTTTGTGGGGGGCTATTAGAATAACAATAACATATGCATTATAACTTTAGCTAATGCTGACCTATAATATATCTACACGTGTAATGCACCCTTAGGTGATCTATATATAGTCGCCTGTACATCTTGTTCTGAGAATGAAATCAATCTTGCTGTCTTGCTATCACAATCCTTTCTCTGTTCTTGTATCTGGTTCTGTTCTTGAGTTTCTACGGTTAATGCTTGAGGATTTTTAAATCTTTCACTGGACTTTAGAATTTTATGGAAAGTCTATGATACTTGATCATAAACTGTCTTCTCTTTATCAGTTTGTTCCTGTAAATGAGCAAAGTCGGCTGACTCCCTTATTTTGGCCATTATACACACACACACACACACACATTGGGGACAAAATGTAGGCTATTACACGGGCAAGGGAGTGGATCGAGCTTCAGATTGGGCGTGGGACCAGTTGGAAGTAGGATCTTTCTATTTTTGATTAAAGGTCTGTTTAAATCTTTTGAGGTGGAGCATCCGAGTCGGAACACTGGCAGATCGACAAGCAGTGTTGATCGGGTTTGGTGTGTCGAAGCAACAAAGAAAAAAGCAGTGAATCAAGAACCTAAGAGCGGAGCATGCGGGATTGATCTCATGGGAGGAAGCCACGCGCAGTAGTGCTCTAGAAGCGGCGCACTGGACGCTGGTTAGAGCGCGCACGGGTGCCTGGAGAAGACTAGCAAGCTAGCGGGTGCTCGGTATTAGAGCATGGGTGTGCCACACAGGAGCTTGCATTGTAGAAGGCTTTTCTTTGATTGTAAAATTTGGACCAAGATGGAGATTGTTAGGTTTGATCCCTATTTAGTTTTAGTTTAAGTTGCTCCACAAGACACCACACTTATATCCAATCTATATATACTTCATTTGCCTAGTTTGTTTCTTGGGGAAAATTGAATAAAGTTGAGTTTTATTTTCCTCCAAAATCCTCTTCCCTCCTCTCTCCCTCTCCCTTTCCCTCTCCCTCTCCTTCTCCCTCTCATCCAAGAAGATCAAAGAAGGTCTTATCTTCCTCCAAGGATTTTGATAAATATAGAAAAGTACTTAAACAGAGTATCTCATAAAGAACCCAAAGAGTACTGGAAGGATTGCCCATACTAAACAAATCAGTAAACATAAGCATCTCAATCACTTCTACATCCTGAACTTGCTCCCAACCTTTCCATGCTTTTCAAACAAGTTAAGCTCCAGGTGCTATCCACGTCACAGGAATTTAAGAAAGCCCTTTCTTGAAAATTATCATGGCTATCATTGGCTATATACGAAAATGTGATAACTTCAAATAGGTCGTCTTATAATTCCTAGAAATCCTTTTGCTGTGATATTCGTCATGTTAACTTGATATAAGAATTTATTAATGAGAGTTATTGCATTAAACTTTGATTTGATCCGGTCTGTTGTAACTTGTGTTGTAGAAGAATAGAAGTGTAAGTATCAAAATATGGCATATAGATCTTAATCTAGGGATTGGAGTCATAAAACTCCTCAATCTTTTAGATTCTTCGTATCAACACACTCATCTTGCTTCTCAGAAGTTGATAAATTTTGAGATTTATATCACTCGGGTTGAATGAATCAAACGCAGTAGAGATCTGTCAAAAAAACAATTTCTTATTTTATTAACACTGATTGCCATCTTTTTTTTCATCATCTGCTAGAACTGTTTATATAACTATTCATGCTTACGGATATCCTATTTGATCCGCAGCTCATGGAAAGTTATACTGACATCCAGCTTGCTTCTTCAGAGGACGCTTCTGTGGTAATCATATTCTTTCTGTCTTGGATTCCCAAAACAAAACTTATGATGAGGATACACAAATGTCACTCAATAAGCCGGCGCTTTGAAGTTAGTCTCTTTTGCTTCATGAATTTTGTATTTTGAGTGAATTTTTAATTTTTTTTTTCATTTCATTTGAAGAGTTTTCATCTTCTGTTTTTAGAGTTCTTTTTAATTGCATGTGTAAATTGTTACCAATGTTAAACTCGGCTTCTTTCTTTCTTTTTTTGGAAAATTAAGGGACTACCCCATACCATTTACTAATTACAAGGATACATATAAGGTTCAAATTCATCCCAAAAACATGGAGAAGTCCAAAGAAGAAAAGCTAAAGCAATAAAAAGCTAAATAATAGCTCTGAAATTAAACAGCAAAATAAAAAGAAAGATTACCAAATATAGGACTCATAGGATTAATTGATTCCCCAATAATCAACAATAGCTCAGAACACTTATGCCAAATCCGGTTGCCAGAAGTGCTTCTTATTTCTATATTTTACAACAGTTAAGATCCGTTTGATAATGTTTTCCTTGTGGGTGGGGATGTAAATGATTAAGCGACTGAGTCAATTTTCCTTATGTCTAGTTTGTTAACTTATTTAATCGATTGTGTGAGTTGCCCCTCAATATCGTATGTATATGTGTTGTTACACATATACAAATAAACTATATCGCCCAACTACATTCTCCTAACTATTATTGCCCTACTTCGGTCCTTCAACCACCATTGTTTGACTATGATCCTCTGACAATTGTCATTTGATTACTATTTTCTAACCACCATCGTCAATTTTGATGCTTTGACCACTGTTGACTCATAATGGTCATTTGACTACATCATCTAACTAGGTTCTTTGATCATCGTCACTTAATTATGGTCCTTTGAATAGCTTGCCTAACTATGGTCATCTGATAATTATTGCCCAACTACTATCTCCTAACCACAGTCACTTGAATCCATTCGACCACCATTGCTCCATTATAGTTGTCTAGCCCCTGTCATCCAACTAGATCCTCTAACCATCATCGTTTGGCTATGGTCCTCTGACCACCGTTGTCCGACTACATTCTTCCAACCACCATCACCATACAACAATTTTCTAACCACGTTTTCTAGCAATCATCATCTTGACTACAATCTCATAACTATTGTCACATCATTATAGTCTTGAGGCTATTGTCATCAACTACATCAATGCTAGCTAATTTTGTTGCTTGTGGTTACCTATAAGGTCAATGCATGGCATCGCATCGACACCAACTCTTACTCACAAATAAGTTAACTCTTGCATATATATTGATATTGATATTTACATATGATATCATTAAATACATTAAGCTTAATATAAATTTGGAACATTTGGGTTTCATTTGAGATGGCTTTCTTACTATTTCTTAAAGAAATTTTCTTTTTTACTTGATATATCATCAAAAAATTATCTTGATCGGACATGAATTTCAAGGTAAAATCAAGTTGGAAACTTTCAGAATTAAAATTGGGACCATCCAAACTCCGATTTCAGCGAACTTACATTCGAATCTAACGACTCAAAAATGCAAACTCAACGACACCAAATTCAACTCAATCCGAGTCCAAATGGGTCCAAATCAAAAACCCAAAGCGTTGTTGTAAGGTTCAAACCACAATTTGGATTACCAAATTCTGCCGAAGCACTGACTAACGCTGGAGTTTTGCCGGACCTCCGATTGACACAGTAATTCTGTCAGACCATCGATTGATGCCGGAGTTCTACTTGACCCCTATTTGTCACTAGATTCAACCAGATATTGATCATTGTAATCTGATCGTCCTTAAGGACGATTTAATTAATTGTAATATACTCAAACACTAATGGAATCATTTCAACTGGGCGTGACCCCGTGGTTTTTCCCCTTTCCAGTGTTTTTCACATAAATTTTTTTTTGTTCTCTGTTTGTGTGCTGGATATTCGTACAATGCTGAGACGTAAAATTCCGACTCTACTGACGCATATATTTTAGCCCGCAACAGTACTAAAATGCTGTTTTAAGAAACAGTAAGAAAGCTGTCCCAAATGAAGGCTTAATCCCACTTTGATGTAATTTGCATCAAATTTTTTTATAAATACATAAGATTAATGTGGGATAACTTTCTTACTATTTTTTAGAATAATTTTTTATTACAAAAAAAATTTTAATTAAAATTTTATGTTAGAAATCAATAGTAAAGCTGTCCTAAATGAAATCATAATCATTTGTTAAAGAGTTGGCTTCACTTTTTTTTTTTATAATAAATATTATAGATAGTTCATGAGAGGTCCATTTTGTTTAATTGTCCAATAATAAAATTTTCAAATTAAAAAAAAAATCAGTGTTTACTTTTCTCGATCCAATTTATTCTCAAATTTTAATAAAAATTCTTAGGAATGTTCCAAGATCAGAATCTTCATGCTTCATGTAGCCCCCTATTAAAATAGCATAATCATTTTTTTGTCAAAAACTCGCATCTATGCTACATTAATTTCTTTCTATTTAAAGTATATCAAAAAACAAAATAAACAAAAAAATTAACTAAATAGTATAGAAAGAAGATTAGATGTTTTTTAATTAAGGGTTGTTTGATTGGACGAAAAAAAATGTAGAATAAAATGAAATATAATATAAAAAGAATACAACATAATTAAAGTGTTTGAATGATTTGAATGACTATAAAATAAATGAATGATATTATTTACTTAATTATTTGTCATAGAGTAAAACTAAAAGAATGTAAAGTCTAATAATGGTGATGACTAGTGATCAATGGTTGGTAGAATAGTTGCAGTGGCAATGAACAATATGAGATGAATAGGCATAAACAATGATGGCGGCATAAGCAACGATGGCGGCAACTTAGGGAGGTGGCCATTTGTGGCAATGGTGGGCGATGAGTGGTGACGATAGTTGCGATTGGGTGCGGTGGATGATAGTGGTGATGGTGTGTGGCGGACGATAGTTAGTGGCGGGCGGTGTTGGCTGATAGCAGTAGCAGTTGATGGTGACAATCGGTGCCAGAGTTGGTTGGGTGATGACAATGACAAAATTAATATTATATTTAAAAATCGATCAATTCTAATGATTTTAAAATATACCAAAATTGAAGTAGAGAATAATTTCAAATACTTTAATATTTGACTATGGTCAAATACTAATATTTTTAAAACCATATATATATATATATATGCACTTGATTTTACATATTTTTACTTATAATTTTCAATTATGAAGGTGACTTACATACAATATGATAAATTTTTTGTTTTTTTTTTTTTTTTTTTACATTGTTAGTCTCCATTTGGAATAGTTTTTTATTGTTTTATAAAGAAATAAAATTTGATACCAGAAAGTTATTTTAAAAAATAGTAAGAAAGTTGTCCCGCCTTAATCTAATGATGTACTGTACATAACATAATTAAAATAATTATTTGTTTAGTGTTGATCTTAACAAATCTTTTCTTAATAATATTTTAAACTTGCTCATTACATTTTTAAATCTCTTTAGGATTGAGCTCTACCAAAACTACTAAGGTCAACATCCATACAAAACTTATAACTCACGCTAACATACAACAAAACATTAATTCACTACAAAAATAAAATTCAATACAAGTTCTTACAAAAAATAAGTCAATCAACATTTATACAACTCAAAAGCTTTGATCAGAGCAGAGGATTCTACACAGCAGAGCATGCATATCAACATATCTGACTACCATTAGTCATGACCTCTAAACTAATTATGATCGATCAAAATTATATGTCCAAATTCGAGGCTAGGCTTCGTTTTCTTTTCCCTCCATATTTAATATTTTTTTTTTATTAAAAAATTGATTTACAAAATAGTGAGAAAGCCGTTTCAAACGAAGCCTGAATCTCCATCATGGGATAGGGCACGGCCCGTTGCCCCCACCAGTCCCATGGTGGCAATTTGATGAATCCGATCTTGCCGATGATTGGCTTTTCGGTTTCGACTGAAATATTAATCCAGACTGCATTATTGATGAGAGATCCTTAACTTCTCTCTCTCCCAAAATTCTCGCACTCGCCGCCGGCAAGACCCCACCACTTCCGGCCATTAGATGATAGAGAAATAAGGAGACTATAGCCATCAATAAAATAACTCTACTGAAAGAAGCCATTGATCTCTAATAACAACAAATCAATTATTCTGCTTGAAGAGTTCAATCAGGCCATAGTTGCTTTTTTATACTGTGTGGTTAGTGAGTTTGGAGAGCTTCATGAAACTTGTCCAAGAAGTTATGAGGGAATTCTGTTGAGGTCAGAGCTTCAGAGTCAATTCCCAGATTGTGAGTGGATAGGATCCGCTAGTTTCTTGACTGCTGGAATTTCCTTAGTGAGGAGGTTTCTCACGAAAGTCTTATTAGGCGGCAGAATTTAAACAAAACGGTAGTTTTATTAATTTAATATAAGACAATGGAAACAAAATTTTATATGTCAAAATAGAGTCGGTGGCCTATCAACAGGTTAGTTGGTCTGATTTAGAGATGTAAATGAGTCGAGTTGAGTTTGAGTCGCTCCTAATTTGAACTTGTGCTTGATTAATTAGTCGAGTTTGAGCTTGAGCTTTACATTTATTATGAAAAAGAAAAAATGATTATGATTTAAATAATTGCTATAATAAAATGGTAAAAAGAACGAAAATTATTTAAAAAATAATAAAGCATCACTCTTGGATAAAAAAATAAAAAAAAATAAAGAATCACTTAATATAGGGAAATGAATATATTTTTTGAATATTTTCATTAATTTGTACTTAAAATTTTGAATCCTAATATATTTGAAGTATATTTTTTATCATTTTCCATGAATGAATTTTCATTCTTTCCCTTAGAAGCAGTGGCTAGAGAGAGAGAGAAGAATTTTTAGAGAGAGTGCTAGTTTTGAGCAGCTTGGTCTTTTCTGCTGACGAACCAATTCTGAAAGTTGTCCGGCTCAAGGTAAGTTGTATTTTGCATATCTCAGTTTTCAATTATTTGACGGTTTTAAAGTTTTTCTGATTTAAATTATGAATTTATGGTGCTCAAACCGAGATAACATTTAAATGAGAAAATTTTTACTGCGTAATTTCTTATACATTGTAGAGAATGTAAATCTGGACATTTAGGCATTTCTCTGTAAAATTTATGTCAGGTATATTTGACACTCTGCTTTTCTAAAATTATAGGAAAATATTCGTACAATGAAAAATAGTATTGT